GAAAACGAATGCGCCGAATTGAAGGCAAAATATATACGAGTTTATCCCGTAGCCTTTGTTCCTCTCGTCGAAGAGGGTTTGTTTTTTGTTTTTTGATCTGTGACCTTAGTGTATAGTAATTTAAATGTAAGATAAGTTAATTGTATATATGTAAGTATAAGAAACACACTGTGATCGCATGTACCTGAAAACAAAGAAAGGAAGGTTTTTACTAGTTTTTTAGACTTTTATGAGGTTTAATTTTTAATTATTAATTTATTCAATTTAAATAATGTTTAGATGCTGAGCACCAAAAAAAGTAATGTACTTCTGCGCCCAAAACACCATGTCTTTTTATTTCCACATTAAGGTTTAAGTAAGATATTTCAATTTTTGTGCAAATTGTTTTTCATGTTTTTAATTTTTTTATTTTATTTTAAATATGATAATAAAACAGACCCTGAAGTACAGTATAAAAACTGTAGAAAGCTTGGCGAAAACAGAAAGGAAGTTTTTCTCTGTGTTGACCTCTTCCGTAGATCCTCCGAAAAAACTTCGTTTCCAGCAGGTCGATAATCTAGCTCATCGTTACAGATTAATAAATGATCTAGAACAGTGGTCGGCAAACCGCGGCTCTTTGACTTCTTGGCTCTGGCTCTTTCACTAAATGTTTAGTGCAGACACGGAGCGAAAAATATTACAGGTGCAAAAAATGGGATTGTCGCTATTTTTAAAGGAAAAATTAATCACGAGATACTTAGTTACCATTGTATTATTCATCACTATGTGCTCAGACATTTCCTGAAGAATTTGCTCATCAGGTTCAAAGACTTTAGGAACAACAAAGCGACGCTAGCCTTTGTTTAAAAAAACCTCTGAATGCCACGGTAACATAAATTAATTTTTTGCCCTTTAATATTGATAATGGCAGCTTTGAAATGCAGTTGTTGAATTTAAAAAATAAAGAATTTTGGAGTTCAAAATTCGAGCGTCTTTATACCGATTTTCAGCTACTGGTGAAAAATAAATGTGAATTAAGTTTACAGCACAAATGGTCTGCTTTAAAAGATCTGTCGAGGGAGGATATGTTGTTTTTTAACACCTGGATGATGATGATCAACTGAAGAAACTAGCGTTTGCTGTTCTTTCCTTATTTGGGTTTACATGTTTATGCGAACAATCGTTTTCAAGCATGAACTTTATCAAGAGTAGATTAAGAAATTGGCTTATCGATGAGAACTTGGAATCATGCCTAAAATTAAAAACAACATACAAACCTGACTTAACCCTACTTTCCAGGGAAATGCAAGGCCATTGTTCTCATTAGTGGAATATTTGAAGTTTTTTTTTAAGGATACCTTTTATATTATTTAACTTGTTATATTTTTAAATAAATATCTTTATATAAGAATGATACCAAGTTTTATTTAATGCACTGTTAATTAAACTAAGACATATTCAGCAAAGGCAAGCTCGAGAGTGTACTTTTAATTCTAATTATTTCCATAAAAATGTCTACTAAAGCAAAGCTCAAGTTTAAAAAATGGCTCTGAATAAACTTCAATTTTGTATTTTTGTTTATATTTGGCTCTTTTGGATGACGAGTTTGCCGTCCACTGATCTAGAAGACGCAAAACGCAAGCAAACAATATGTGCAATACGGCAGAAATCCGGTCTCTATTTATGACCAATAATCCTGTTCTTCGTGACTCCTACATCATTCGGTATACCAACAGCCTTCCTTGGCCTAGAGGTATTCAACTATTTCCACACCTTTTGTACTAAAGTGGACTTGGAATTTTTGTATAAATTCATGTATTTCGTTCATGTCATTCCTTATGAAGATGGTCTTTGATCGATTTCGCTTATGTTGTATAATTTTCTGTCCTTATTTCATTCAATTGTTCTTTTGTTTCTCTACAAAAGTCTCAAGTCTCCATACTCTTGTCTATATTTTTGTGAATGATTTATCCCGACGAGAAAGTTATAGAGTTGAACCGTTTGGACTCCGTTGTGTATTTTTTTGTGTCATTTTTTCTTGTGATTCACTACCATCTTCAGTGGTTGGTTTTCACTTTGCTCGTTTCGCAATTGGCTCACTGGGGTTTTACTTGGTCTGGTTTAAAAGTTAAAGGTTATAACATTTAATTTAAAACTTAAAGTTTAAAAAAACGAGACTATTTTATATTTCCTATGTATCTACTAATAGGTCAATTGCTAACTTTTGGGAATGGCCTAATAATAAATAATATGCATTATCTGAAGATAACAAGTTATTTTAATAGTATTATTTAACTTACCTTGCTTCTGATATATTTCGTAATCATACTGATTATACGGAATTTAGTGTCAACGTTTGTTTATTTACGGAGAGCTACGCGGTCATATTAACCCCAGGGGGTTCCGTTATTTTCGAAACAGACCTTTTTGGAAATACGTTGGGTTCTAATCCTGAATTAGAACCAGGGTCCTAGAATCAGAGAATAACAACTTTCCTACTTAATGGAAAGGTTCATAACTAGAAATCTTGACTTCAAATGTAGTTTGGAATCACCTTTTTAACAGATGTTCCGTGGGACGTAAAGGCATTATTTTTGTTCAAATAAACAAAAGTATGTCCACGGTTGCTTACTAATGTATGTGATTTGGAGGACTTAATAATCGATGAGTCGTGAGATTTCTTATTGAAGTCCGCGTGTGACGTGGGCATTTCGCCGTCTTCAGTGGTTGGTTTCCACTTTGGTCGTTAGGCTCTTGGTTCATTGGGATTCGGCTTGATCGAAACCTTTGTTGATATCGTTAGAAAAATAAAAAAAGGGGGATATCTTAACACTATTAATAATAGATCAATTGCTGGCAGTTGGTAATGGCTGACTATTATTAAATACTTATAATCATTAGAAAGGACGGCGTGACCGGGGTCTCCTTTTCCCAGGGCAGGTTTTGCCTATTCCCTACAGTGTCCGAGGTCGCCCTGGGCCGGGAGTTGCCGGGATCCTTCGGCCCTTAGCAACAAGGGCCCGTTAGCCCGCAGGAAGCCAGAGAGGGACAAGTGGATTCATTACTGTGGGAATTTCTACCTGCCTCCTACGCATTCCGGGCGGCGACTGATTTATCTGTCAGGTGGATTATAACCACGACCATGGGAGTGGGTTTGACGACCGACGGCAGTCTATTAGTACAATAGGTCTACGAGCAAAAACTATATATTGTATAAAAATTAAATAGGTAGTGTTGAATGTTTACGTTTTCACCTTATTTTTTAAGAAAGATACATACGAAAAAGATTTGGCGTAACTAACATATTTGACAGAGAGCAAATAGTACCAGGCGGTACTCGCGCAAATCAGCGAAACTCCTTCGTCATTGAAAGTCATAATCAACCCCAAAAAATCTATACGCAAAATGAAAACAAGACTGTAAATTTCATGTTAACCATCCAAACCGTAAATTCGATCTGCGGAGGGCGGCGACTTTTTTCCTCTATTTTACCAACCATAAAAAAGTCGAAAGGTAAGCCCTTTAAACGAATGAAGGAAGGTCTGCCCATAAACCACAAGCGATCCCTTACCCGACCGAGGCATTTCCCGCCTTTTCCAGCAAAATCAGTTGTACATATATCTTTTAACATCAGTTCTTGAACGAATCGACATATGTTCCTACTTTTCTCCCCCATTATTTCAACCCTTTACTAGCTCTTTCCTTAGATGACACATGACACTTATCAGAAAAGATTACAGAAGTTACATTAATACACCATTTCAGTTAAGTCACCAGTTCAGTCGTCTTATGACGACAACAAACAATACATAATTTGTATGGAAATTTTTGACATATGAATTATTTTTGATACTAACTATAACTTGAAGATTATTTGGAGATCGTGAGATGCAGTCTGGTGTGAAGTAGGTTTAGAAAAACATTTTCTTAATTGTGCCATTGTTTCTATCTTTATTGAGATCAACTTCAGGGCCAGGGATTTATAAACATTGTTTAAATTTGTAGAGATTAGTGACCGTTAATCGATAGTTATTCAGTATCGTGAGATGCGGTCGGGTGTGATGTAGGTTTCAGAAAAACATTTTCTTTATCGTGCCAACGTTTCGATCTTTTATTGAGATCATCTNAGAAATACTTTGTTTGAATATAAAATATATTTTGCATTGTATAAATTCACTTATCCACATCCTAAATGTATTTGTTAAATGTAAACATTGTTTGTAAATCCCAGGCCCTGAAGATGATCTCAATAAAAGATCGAAACGTTGGCACGACAAAGAAAATGTTTTTCTGAAACCTACATCACACCCGACCGCATCTCACGATATCTGAATAACTATTGTTTAAATTATACAAATACATGTAGGATGTGGAAAAAAGTGAATTTATACGATGCTAGAAATTTCAGAATCAATCAAAGTATTTGTACTCAACACGACACCCAATAATGATACATCTACTTAGAAAACAAACACTTTGGGTGAGTACAAATTCGGAGCTGTGATAGAAATAAAAAAGAGAGTGTTACAGAGATGACAAAAATGTGTGTGTGTGTGTGTGAGAGAGAGAGAGAGAGAGAGAGAGAGAGAGAGAGAGAGAGAGAGAGAGAAAGAGATGAAATAGACAGAGAAAAAGTGAGAGATGAGATGGAGAGAAATAAAAAAGAGATCGTTAGAGAGATGATAAAAACGTTAGAGAGTAATAGAGACGGAGATAGATAGAAAGATGGTAGAGAGATAGATAGAGTGATAGAGATAGATAGAGAAAAAGAGACAGAGAGAGGGGGAGAGTGAGTGAGAGATAGAGAAAGAGAAGAACTGTTTAACTCAAAATTTCAAACCATCGTTTACTTCAAAGTTAAACATGAACTTACATTTAAAATACTGAAACCTGTCGTATTTTCATTGTTTTCAAAGTTAAAATGTTACGGTTTTTTCATTCTAGAATAATAAACTCTTAATTTTGCCAAATCAATTTTGATATTTGAATAAAGTGATTACGATTGTTATACTGCTTGATTCAAAATAGTTATAATTCTGGTAATGCATTTCGCTTTTCTTTCAAAACTCAACACTGGCAGTCTTCCTTCCTCACGACGAAAGAAGGGTCACGGACGATGAGTTCCGTGTCCTTCCTTTCCGATAATCAAGGAAACTAAAAACATAAGGTGGTCAAGATAAGGACGGTTACAGACGACCGCGCACCAACGCAGGACGACAGATGCCCTGGATGTGGAGGATTTGACGACTTCCTTCCTTCCTTTCCTCGCTGCCTGGAAGGATTCAGAAAACAAGCCTCTTCAACACCCCCAACAGCTGTGTATTGGTGCACCTCCCAATAATAAGTGGCCAGTTATCTTATGGGCAACACTCTCAGAGTCTGAAATCTCACCTTGATGTCCAGAGGTGATGAACCTGCACACAAATACAATAAGCCCACCAATCAAGATGGAATGCCGAAGCGCATCAAATGGGCGGGAGGAGCAAAACTAGGTTTAAAGTTTATGGTGGTTGGTCGATTTGCTTCAACTGAATGCAGCGTTGTGGATGACTTTTCCCGGTTTGTCCGGTTGGTAATCTTAAAACAGTTGGAAAAAATCATTGAAAGTGAAATAAGAAATTAAGAGTTTTTACAGTTTTATTTAACGCTATTAATACATAATTGCTTAATAGAACTAAAAGTTTAAGCATTTAATATATCATGGGCGTTGGGTTCTTTATTTAATTCTCTCTCGATCATTACGTTCTTTACGTCTGTTTTGGGACACTATCCTTCACCATCTGTACTGAACTAGAAAAAACTGGAGATATCAACAAGTTTAAAAAAAAAGTATGTTCATCTCGATTCTTAAAGTCAAATTTCTAGAAGGAAAACAAAAGGTGTGGACTACGTTAGATCGTTCTGTAAATATTGTTCGTTCGACATGGCATGTAAAGACTTTAGTTTTTTATCAACTAATTAACTGTTAAACATTCTTCGTTTCTTAAATTTATTTTACAATTTTGCTATCAATTAAAACTGTTCCATGAAAAACGACGAGATATTATCAGGTCTTTGCGTTGCTACTTTGCTCGTAAGAAGCTTTTAACGACGCCAATTAAGCGTATATCGCACTTTACAAATACATCACCACTTTGAGAATGATTTCGTAATTCGGGTAAATAAATAAAAAAAAAAAAAAATCGGGATGCAGACGTTGAAAAAGGCCGGCGCCGGAGGACAAAGAAATGAACCTGTCACCTTCCAGCCCTCTGCAAATAGCCGATGTCTTTCCCTTGGGACCTCCGGGACGTTTCCCAAGCCCGTTTCTACCTAAGGAAAGCGACGGTTGGAATACTTTGTTTTAGCTTTCTGATAGAGAAGCGCCGGGACTAGCTTTACCCAAGGTCGACTGGCTTCGGACCGACTAGCTTCTCACACGGCATCAGTCGTCTCATCCACGTCCGACCGCTCTCACGCATCTCACTAACATGTAAGTGTTAACCGGATAATTAATTCTAAACTCGGACTTTATTTTGTGACAAGAAAGTCTCTGTACAGTCAACAATTTTTCTCTAGCATGGGGCCTTATGGTGGAATTTGAACTTATATTGATACAGCCTGTCCCACGGTTCGAGTGATTCGGCTTCCCGGTCTCGGCTCGTTATGACAGCTGTTATTCCCGACGTTAATTGTTACTTCGAATTTCCGCAATATTTAAAGTGAGAATTTCTGTTTAATACGCCTATTCTCGAAACCAGGGGGAGTTTTCCCTTTTTCCCTTTTTTGTCGAAAAATGAGAGAAAATCCTCGGCCGCACAGGTAGCTCCGGGCATTTAAACTTTTAAAAGGACGCACCAATTTGCCATGCTGGGTAAAACTCGGAAGGGGTTGTACAAACAAATCTTTTCGGCATTTTTTGGAAGTAAGTAATAAAGGCGCTCCGCCTTAAACGTTATTACGAGGCTGTAAATCAACTCTAAAGCTTTTCTGGGGTTTAAAGCCGATTTTTACGGGATGTTTTTAGATTATTTTTTAATGCTATCAGGCATCTGGATGCTGCTTCAGTAATTATCTGCCTTTAATAGCAAATTTTTAAGATGAGAATTTATTTCTATTAATTTAAGTTGATTTAATTTCAGACTTTAATGCAATAGTTAGTTCATTTTCTAATTTAATTTTTTAACGTAATTTAATTATTTTATTTATTTTAATTAATTATTCTTTTTATCTAAGGTTTTTAGTAGAGATGAAAAATTAGTGTCACGAGCGGGATTTGAACCCATGACCTTCGGCTCAATACGCCGCTACTCACTTGAGCTATCGTGAATTCGATCCACTCGGACATCAACTCCTCATTAAATTCGAAGTTCCTCACAACCAAAAAACCTTAGATAAAAAGAATAATTTATTGGAATAAGTAATATGGTCAGTTATGACCACAAAAAAATTGATTAATTTTATTTATTGCTATCTGTACAAACCATACATTGAGCACATAGTATAGTTATAATACAAATTTGACTGATGTGTCACACCAGGAGGCAGTGGGGCGAGAAACCAACCAGGGGTTGAACAAGGGCAGAGGAATAGTTTAGAGTGGAAATTGAAGAAGCGTGTTTGGATTAGATCTTTCACGAGTGGGACTTTAAAATATTTATGGATCGTTTGATTGGTGAATTAGAAGGAGCACTGAGGATACGGCGGAGAACTGTCGATTGAAAGGATTAAATTAGTTGGATTTTAGATGATTCGGCCGAGCCCCACAGTTCGACTTCTTAACTCCAAATAGGTCAGACCAGTGTTTTATAAGCGGTTAGTTTTTTATGTATGCTTAGTGTTGATTTTGGTGCTAGGAGGTGTGTGAGTAGTTCATTTCTTTTGTCAAGTTGTTGTTTTTTAATCTTGTATGTAGGTTCCATGTAAGTGTGCTGAGTAAAGCCCTAGAAAGCAGATTTGTTCATTGGAGATATTACCATGTTATTAATGTGCACTGGTAGGCAGGTTTGACGTTTCAGCGTAAATGTAACTGTTGGCTCTTTGCTCATTCAGCCTGATCCACGCCTATAAGTGCACCAGTTGGTAATGAGGTAGAGAATTTAATTTTTTAATAACGAAAAACTTTATTCTTTAGTAGTGATTTGGTGTTATGTCAAGGGAAATGTGTTAATGTCAGACGGCCGTATCAGGGCATCCATTATAACTTTATATTGATCCAAAAACTCATTCAAACCCAATAATTTAAAAAACCTATTGTTACGGTTAACTATAGGAATTCATTTAATAATAAAATGTGGTATGTATTAAGCCAACTGAGAAATGTTAATATACGACGGAGGGTTTGGCGGACAAAACATTCCCATTTTTTTTGTTTGGTATGCCGAAGAAGGAGGCCCTCAAAAGGACGTCTCCATTCCTCGGGTCTCCCTCGACCCAGAAAACAGGTCGCAATGAAGGAATGCGGTTTTTAAATCGTACCTCTATGCCGACGACTTCCAATGTCCTTCCATCCCTCTGATCTTCATTTGGCTATCCCCAGAATTCAGGAAGATCTGAATTAAATGAATCGGCACGTAAAACAAACGACAAATTAAATGGTAGAAAGTGCAAATCCATTGTTATAGGATCTTGTCATCCCCTCAAATACGTACCCCCATCCTCCTTTTCAGCATCAACAACCAGCCTATCTCATTCTGTTCCACGTTAAAAACCTCCGTGTTACCTTCGACCAAAACCTTTCCTGGAAACCATACATTTCCGGACTCAGTATTAGAACCCTCATTCAATTCCGCTAGTCCTGTCTCCTTCTACCTTCACTCGTTAACTTATTGTCTCCTCCTTCACCTTTCCCCTCTTCGATTACAGCTGTGTTGCTTATGGAGGACTTACGTAGGAACAAGAAGAGCGTCTGAAAAGCATCTATCCTGGCTTTATCCCTCCTTCCGTATAAAGTATTTCCTAGGCTCCTTCCTTTACCAATCCATAAACTCTAGTCGACCTCACTATATTTTCAAGGTACTTCAGTTCAAATCCTTCATCCACTCTCTTAACACCCGCTCGTTTCCCAATGACCAACCCTCCTCGTTATAAAACTTGCATATTGGACAGGTCCCTCATAGCTCGATTCCTGGAATTCTCTGCCTTTGTCAATCCGCAAAGCTTCCATACCTCTTTTAAATCCCTTCTGTACCAACACATCTCCCTCCAAACAGAGACAACATAATTCACAATATTATTGGTGCTTTTGCTACATTAGAAAACTTGTTACCTTCCTTTTCTCATCTTTTAAGCTTACGATATGTGATTACGTTAGCAAAAGATAGAGAATGATCCTTACAATTGCTTCTATTATTTCTATTTTTTATAGTTGGTATTATGTGATTTAGTTCAACTTTTTTACTTGATTAACGTCAAACCTTCATGGGGGGATGTCGGTGGCCGCAACGGTTAGGCACTGTAAGGTAAGGTCCCGGGTTCGAATCCAGCGGCCCTGCATTCGAACTCGACATACTTACAAATGGGCTTTTTTTCAAAAACACTGGCACCCTGAGGGTTTATATGACCTCTGCTGTTGCGAACCCTCGTAAAAAAAAGATGACAAAAAGTTAAAAAAAGTAAGTCAAAACGTCATTAAGTGCTAGATTTGTAAAAGATTTTATGACGTTTTTGTTATTTTTAGGGCTCTAGTCCCAGAACAAAGTATTCACACACACACACACACACACACTCTCTCTCTCTCTCTCTCTCTCTCTCTCTCTCTCTCTCTCTCTCTCTCGTTAATTTCGTAAATTGGAAGGACTTGGATTGCTACACCTTCAACGTATCTATTTCTCTACCAATATCTCTTGGAAACTACGCTTTCTGCAATTTCAAGTGGCATAGCACCTTTTTCACTGATGTATTAATAAATAACGTTAACGTGTTAAACTCGATTTATTCAAGGCGGCATCGGAAAATCTAAATAATCTAATAAGATGTCCATGCATATAGAGATATATGCCGTTGTAAGGATACATATTACATTCATAACATCAAGTCTAAAGACAGCCGGTTATTCTTATCAACGTACAATTCCATTGATTAGGACCTTTCTCCCGACCTCTTGACGTTGTTCGTGGATTAATGCAATGAGGGATTTTCCGTTGAGCCGTGAAGGAATGCGAGCCGAGCTTCTTTCGTCGGTTTACGTCCGTACCAGCGGATCACGGCCTCGAACAAGAGCCCAGCCCCAAAAGAGGGCCTGACAAAAAAGACCTCAGAACAGGTCGGACACTTCCTGGAAACGGTTCCCCCTTTGAGCTCCGGCCACAAGTGGCATCCCCCGAAGCTCAGGTGAACCCGACAACGGTTGCCACAATGGTCGATGCATATCAATTTAAAAATTCATTATATAAAAAAATAAATTTCAATTTGAAAGTGTATCAACCGTCTAGCA